CATTGTTAACATAACAAATGATCACACGGTTCAAAGGGTTAAAATGAGAGGTAGTTGCAGCACTGTCAATCAAAGTCAACTTTATTGTCAATCTCAAAATATGTTTGTACACAGAAAGATCGAAATACTGCTTCCCACAGTCCCGAGGTATACAAAAACACACACATTAAAATGCAAGAACACTCAATAATTACAAAAAACACAAAATAACCGTTTACTTCAAGTAAGCAGGATAACTGTGGAAACAAATATTCCAAGAGGAAAACTAACAATCAAATAGAGCAAAGTATATAATGGTGTTACTAAAGGAAAAGAACACTCAATTATATTTACAAGGAAAATAAATCATAAATAGATCGTAAATATTAAGTTTTATTTACTATCTCTGCTCCTACTGTCACGGTGTGTGAAGCAGGTAGGACCCAAATGCAGATTAAAGTGAAAGTTCCTTTATTTCAAGGCTAGGGGATAACACAGACAGAACAGAACACTCACCGACGAACTAGTCATGACAAAAGACGAACCGACAAAGACAGAAAAACCAGAACTTAAATACACACAAGACTAATCACAGAAACAAGACACAGGTGAGGAGGGAGGAGAAAACACAGGGACACCAGGTGAACACAATCGGGTAATCAGACACACCAGGGAAACTAACGACAGGGAACCACAGACAAATCCAAACAAGACACAACGCAGACAGAAACAGGCAAGACAGGAAGTGAAGACCTTTCAAAATAAAACAAGACAAGACAAAACACCATAAAGACAGATCGTGACACCTACTGCTGTGAGTGAACGGAAGAAATACAAATACAATGTGATAAAACTGAAAGCATAAACCGTTTGTTTATGCATACATACAAATGCATTACATAGACATACTAACCACACACTTACACCAATGTACACATGCAAGCTTCATTCTTTTGTGAAGGATGGCGCAGAAATCTCAAATGGTACTGAAAAAAAAGTAAATTGTTTATTTGTTGGGGACTATTTTCAGCCATGGATTGATACACATTTGGGGTTTTAACATGTTTTTGGTCCCTGTTCAACAAGAAACATGTGACATTAATTGATGAGTTTTTATATTTCCGGACAACAATGGGATCAACTGCAAGAAGAACAGAGATATTTAAACAATGCTTAGTTTGGTACAGTCCCTCGTTGGATCCTCCTGGAGAAAATGCTGTTCCAAAAACAAGTTAAACAATAATGAAAACAAGCTGTTTTCACTTGAAATAAGTGCAAAAGTCAGCCAATAGAACAAGTGGAAATGTGTTTGGTAGGATTTCTTGAAATAAGAAGGGATATTTAGATCAATCAGATCTTCTAATTAGCTGGAGAACTCATTTTGAACTATATTTGACCAGAATCAAGAAATGTTGTGTTACAAAATAAGCCGCAAATGCTCAAAAGTGTTGTTTTCCGATGTCAGTTGGTGATTTTCTAATAAATATGTAAACAAATATGTGTTTCATCTGAGATACAACTCAAAATAAGATGTTTTGACTTAACAAGATGATGCATTGTCTAAAAACAAGAGCCTATATCTCATTGCAGTGTTACTTCTGAAGTTACTATGTCTTATATCAAGTGTTGAGACATATTCTGACTAGATATTAGACTGGGCAAGATTTCGAGTTTTTGTAGTGTGTTCAGTAATTGCAGTTTTAGCTGGATATCAGAATGCTTTCACCTCATATTTAGTACACTTCACATCACTCACTCTCAAATGCTCGTTCGCTGCAAAATCACAGTGTGTTGAAATCTCAGTGAGTTCAAGTCACAAGAAATTGCTCTCCTGGTTTGCCTCACTGGTTTTTCTTTCTTCTCCAAGGTGACATGAGATGTGTGAAGTAATGCTAGGATGAAGTTCAATCTTGACCTTGAAGACAACATTTAAAAAAAGAAAGAAATCATGAATAAAGTATCTGGGGTGTAACTGTGGAGTCTTTTGAGGGTGAATATCGCTTTCGCCGTAAAAGGTCAAATCTGTGTTAAACAGACTGTAATGTTCAGCATAGCCAAAGTGAAAGAGACATTTTGCTGCGAAGGACTTAAACTTGATTTAAATGGATATATCAGAGTTTTTTTAAAGTGGGGTTGTGTGAGGTCAGGATTCAGCATATTTCTTACAGTAGATGAAAACACACGCACACACACACACACACAACACACACACACACACACACACACACACACACACACACACACACACACACACACACACACACACACACAACACACACACACACACACACACACACACACACACACACCATGTATACATCACTTCAGGGGACATTACATTGACTTACATGCATTTCCTGGAGACTTATCCTAACCTTAACCATAACCAACACATGCCTAACCCTAACCCTAACCCTAACCCTTACCCTAATCCTAAACCTAACCAAGTCTTCACCCTAAAATTAAAGATTCCCTCCAATTTGTCCCCATAAGGGAGGCGAGTCCCCACACGTGACTATGTAAACAGATTTAGGTCCCCACAAGTATAGTAATGCTATAGACCACACACACACACACACACACACACACACACACACACGCACACACACACACACACACCACACACACACACACACACACACACACACACACACCACACACACACACACACACACACACACACACACACACACACACACACACACACACACACACGAGTATCAGCAAGGGAACAAAGCCATTATTCTGTGAGAAAAATGTAGCATAAACTGTAATATTTAACTTTTTTTTATCTTCCTGGCTTTCCTACAAAGTTATATTAAGCATACATCGTTTCCAACTAAACATGTATAAAAACCTCCTTTACCTTCCTGACAAACAGCCCACCAGATCACGAACTTCATCGGGAAAGTCTATCGTTAACATATTGTAAATATAGTGTAAACTGAAGCTGATTTTCATTTTTTAAGGTTTCTAAAATATGGTTTGCTGTTTCTTGGGGCGGTGGTGGGGAAGTCCATAGGGACTTGGCTTGGCAACTGGAAGGTCACCAGTTCAAGTCCCGGCAAGACCAAGTGCTACCGAGGTGTCCCTGAGCAAGGCACCGTTCCCTACACTGCTCCCCGGGCGCCGTTCAAAATGGCAGCACACTGCTCCTAACACTAGGATGGGTCAAATGCAGAGAAACAATTTCCCCACGAGGGATTAATAAAGTATATCAAAAAATCCTGTCCACAGCAGTGCATTGCTTTTCTTCACTCATGTCTGTTTTACTGACTATGTATACATTTCCCATGCAACCCTACTTTAAAACATCCAAATGTACCCCTTTAAGCCCCATTTACTCCCGAAAGGTGAATATAACAAATCGTTTTTTATACAAATGTGACATGAACTTGATAAATGTACATGTATCTGACTTCCTGTTGTCTTAACAAACATGAAACTCATTATTTTGCTCTCTGACTCTCTCTCTCTTTTCCTGACAGCAGTTCATCCCATACCTCACCCCTTCCTGCTCCCATGCTGCCTCCCTAAGCCCATCTCGATGGCCCGGGCTGTCCACGGTCACTTCCCTTTCTCCTCCCCCCCTTCACATCCGGGGGTCAACTTCAGGGAGTCGGGCCTGCCTTCTCTCCCATCGGACCTTCACATCGGCGCTAACGGCTGGCAGCAAAAGAGCCTGGCAGGACATCAGCCGAAGCCTGTTTGGAGAAGTGAAGCAAACTGAAGAAGAGGAAGAGGAGAGGAATGTGGGGGAGAGAGAGTGAGGAAGAGGAGCAACAGATGGACTGCTTTACCTCTTCAAATCTCTTGTCATTTTGTGTAACTGTAAAGTTTATTATTCAGATTATTTATTAAGTTGGACCATGATGTGTGTGTGTGTTTTTGATATAAACTACTGAGGAAGTCACTTCTCCTCTGAAAGCACTTACTCCACAGTTGGGGAATTGCACTTGTAAACAACATTGCATTAGAGTTAATAAAACACTGCACTCAACTTGCATTATTCAGATGTTTGTTTTGCATTCTCCCTCCCTACGAAATAACAATAAGAGCTGTATGAATGAATGAAGGATTGATGCATTCAAAAAGATGAAATGTTCATGTTAGGAAAGTTTCACGTCTTCTTTGCAGCATCAGGAACAGCTGCTGGTGGCTGAAGTTTCCACTCCGACACCACAGGGGGCAGTCGCATCTCAACACACTTTTTTTTACAGCTCAGATTTTCCCGGGAGAGAGTTGGAGTAAAGATGTCTAAGAGAAAAAGAGGTGTCACTCTGTGGTTATTTTCGGGAACCCTAACTCCAATTCAGATTAGCCTATGGGAAGTCAAGTCAACTTTATTGTCAATCTTTCAGTTTGTGTGTAAAGACAGCGAGATCGAAATACCTTTTCCCACAATCCCGAATAAGAAAATACAAATATATATACAAATATGTATATATAGGCCTATATACGCAATCAACAGACACATTTGTACATATGCACATATTAAGACCTAAATAAAAGCACAACAATCAATATATACAACATAACTTCAATAACTTTGAGAAATGTGCATTAGTGCAAGACTGTTCATAGCAGCGCAAAAAGTGTAAACAAATAACATAGCCAGTTACATTTCTAAATAACGTCCTTATATGTTATATTTGTTTAATGTGAGGGTTTACCCATAGACTATTTAGAATTGAAGGGGTTTTTCTTGTTTAAATGTTTTGGTTATTTAAATCGTATTAAATAGTAATGTACAGATGTTTTTTTAAGGACATCACAATCCCAATACCAGTGTGTTATCTTTTTAAATGGAAATCTGTTGAGAGAAAACTGAAAACAATGATATTCCTTTCTATTTACATAAGTACATTTCAAGGCTACAACATATTTACTTTTTCAAAACCAAGTCAATGTAACAAAACTAGAACAAAAAACAAGTAATGCAGACCGGAAATAAAAAATGTATCGAGTGACTCCTCTTTTCTTATTGACGATCTTTGGCTGAGATGTCATTTTGGCGCCGAATATTTCTCTGTATTTCGTCACTCTGCAGCGCGGGAGTCTGTGTTTTGTGTGTTGATGTTGGACCCTGACTGTGCTTTAATTAAGCCATAAATCTACATTTAGTTTTTTTATCTGGTGAAGGAATATTTTTGAAGACAACATGCAGAGGAGCATCGCGTAAGTACAAAGTTAAAAGCCCGGAAATGATTCATATTTAGTTAACTGTTGTTACTAGAGTTAGGTTTGGGACTGGTTGAATCTGTATTTGCTTTCCTACTAGCTTATTAAGTGTATTGTATGTTGTTTTTATGGGTAGTTAGTGCCTACATGACTGTGACGTTAGCTTAACTGCACTGCTTGTAAGCTAGCTTTAGCATAAATGAGTCTGTTTTAAATCCATCCGTTGGGCAATAAATGCTTCACTTTTTGCCCAAAACAAATATAAGACCTCTTGTCATATATCGTGCAAGTTATATGTAACATGTAAGCTAAACCTTGACAGTTAACGCTAGCTAATTTGTGTTGATACGAGAAACGGTTTAAGAAGAACTTGAAATAGCGTAACTTTAGCTAAGTTAACTTTGGTTAAGTGAGGCTTGCTAACTTACGTCTGCGTAACGTTACGTCCGTTATCAAGATGACGTTACGCATGAAACGTAGGAGGTGGGAGAAGTACTCGGATCGTGTACTTGAGTAAAAGTACCAGAGTATATAAATACTCTGTTAAATGTTACCGAGTAAAAGTAGAAAAGTATTAGCATCAAAATAAAAGTACTAAAAGTAGTTATTCTGTAAATTGGTCCATTTCAGAATAATATATATGATATGTTTTATAATGATTGATCATGAAAGTGTTCTCAAAGCTGGTAAAGGAGCAGCTAGTTTGAATGACTTGTATTCTGCAGGGTAGCTTGTGAATTTACTGCAGGTGGAACTAAAGTCTGATTTAACACCTGATTATATTTCACATCATTCATCCACATCTGTAAAGAAATGTATGTAGTGAAGTTAAAGTAAATGATATTTTAGTGGGGTAAAAGTACAAAGTAGCAACACATGTAAATACTCAAGTGAAGTACAAGTCTCTCAAAATGTTACTTGAGTAAAAGTATTAGTTTTGTTACACCACTGCACACACACCAGCTGTCATTGGCAACATGTACTGTATTGAATGGCTATCTTTATCAATGTTTAATGTTTCACTGATAACGCCCATCAGGACATGAACTGTTCCTCTTCCTCCTCCATCAGATCCTTCTTTCAGCCCAAGGGCAAAGATGTTCAGAAGAAAACCTCAAATGAAGCGGTGAAAAAGTAAGATTTTGCCATGCAAGTGTTTATTTAGTACATCCATGATGTTTACATTGGTATGATCAATATAATGTGAATTTCACGATTTAGCTGTTTTCCTTAAGGACGTTCAGAAATAACTACTATACAATTTGACAAACAACAAGGCTATCATGTCCAGTGTGACATACCCCTGGCTCTTTTGTTATGGTTCTATCTGTATACTATCCACTGTATACTTAACCGAATTAAGTCATATGCGTTCTGTTTAATTATATAAATAACTACAAACAAGTAGAAGAAGATATTCATTGACATGAATTCAGAGCACTCTTGATCCACATGTCCCTCCTTACATTTATTATAGCGCTTTTCCAGATGCTCAAAGCGCTTTACAAATACACATTACCCATATTTTGTATACATGCAATGGTCACTGTGGACAATACCCACAGGAGCAAGTTCAGGTGAAGTGTCTTGCCCAAGGACACACCGGCTTTACAGACGCAGCAGCGGCGGGTTTCACCCCTTGATCATTGCACAGCGCACTGCGCCACACCGTCCATCTTCACGCCTCAAAGTCATCGAGGCGCTTTTACAAGTTGTATATTTTTTTGTTTTTGTTTCACGGTTCTGCCACGAGCTCACAAGACAGTTTTGGGTACGACAACGTGGGGATAACAGTGATATACATTGATATCATACATGTACTGTGGATAATACCCACAGGAGCAAATCCGGGTGAAGTGTCTTGCCCAAGGACACAACGGCCTGACGCAGTGGCGGCAGGAGCGGGTTTCTAACTGGAGTTCCCCAGCACCCCCCCTTGATCTGATGATCAGATGCACAGACCACTGCGCCACCCGTCCCTATGACTATAACCATCCATTATGTTACTGTTGTTATGAACTGGTTATTATTTTTTGAAATGATATCCCACTTAAAAAAGCGTCAGACTAGCAACATTAAGATCTCTAGTCGATATAAATACTTACGCCAAAACAGAGAATGTCTCATGAAGGTGTGAGTAATGCTATCTTGGACATCAGTAAACTAAATCACACCATCAGATAATCTTCAAGCTTATTTTTGTGCTAAAACTCCGTTTGACAGCTTGGGCAATTCTCTTTGAATCATTGAGTAAAACTTCTTGTTGGAGTAATAATGAAAGGAGATAATATCGTCTGTTTCTCATCTCTGAGCGGCTTTAACGATCGTGTTCATTATCTCTAGACCAGAAGTTAAACCCCTCTTTAATGCGCTTTATGTAATGATCTTTTCACGATGGCTTTGACCTCTTTCACGACTCTTGCCTCTTTATTTTATACATCTCAGATCAATGTATTCTGCTTTTGCTATTGATCTAAAATTCTTAATACAGCATCGTGTGGCTGCGCTTTTTAACGTTTCTGTTAGAGCCAGTATTTAGATTTGATAAGAAAGGCCACTTCATTGTGACGTCTGTAGTCAACTCACTATAAAAGACTACAATTCCCACGGAGACAGTGATGGGCAACCGGCTAGAAAGACGCCGTCGAGGACAATTACCCTTGAAGTTATTAAGCCTTATCACGAAAGAAAGAAGGCCTGAGTTGATCGTTAGTTTATTCGAGTTTTGAATATTGTAAAGGCCTCTTTTCTTTGTTATTTTCTTCTGAGCAAACACATCTCTTAATACCATCCAAACCATCGGAGGCCAAGCAACTCTTCAACTGTTAGTAATATAAAGGAAGACAACGAGTAAAACATGTCTGTTTTCGGCGTCTAGTGGCTTGATAGATAAAACAAGGAAGGAAGCCACGACAGTTTCCAAATGAATGAGACTTGCTGCTTTTATTTATTTGTTTAAACTAGTGTCTAAGTTGTGTCTCTGCTCTTCCACAGACCTTCCAAAAGTCCTCTGAAGGCGCAGAACGGCGTCCAGGAAGCGGATTCGCCCGTGAAGAAGGTTGTGAAACGCAGCCGTCAGATCCTGGACAGCGACGACGATGAAGAAGCTCCGGTTGTTAAAGAGCAAGCTGCTCCCATCGGAGACAAAGAAGCTCCGGCTAAACCACAAAAGGTAAAAAGGCACTTCCACATATAAATAGATTTTAATCCCTTAAAGGTGGGGTAGGTCATTCACTTCAGAAACACTTTGTTATATTCCATGGAATGCTCTTCACATCCCGATAGCAATGAATATCTTAAAACATGTCATCTGTGGAAGCCGTAGCGCTGTAAAAAGCTCGACCAATCATCTGAGCCGGCCCGGCTAACTGGATGGCCTACCTGCCTGTCAGCCTTCCATCTGGGCACAAACTCATCTCGTGCCCTCATTGGTCATGTGCGCGTTCGTGTGTTGGAGGAGGGGCTCTGTGAGGAAGAGGCAGATTTCTTCCGGCTGTGTATTTTCAAATTCTATCTCGAGCTGCTTTCTCCATTCTTACCTCCCCCACCTTTAACATAAATATCTTTACCATCATTACAAAACACTCGCTGTTATATAACATGTGCAATATTTATATTTTTTATGTTAATAATGTGCTATGATAACGTGCAATTACGTATCTGCCACTACGTTTTTTTGCACTACTAAATACTGTTAGTATTTGCATTAATTATGTGACCGTCTATGTTTCTTGTAGATATTGAATTGCTCTTTTTACTGCACTGTTAGTTTACCATTGTGCTGCTGTGTTTATTGTATTTTTGTAACTCTGGCACAACCATTTCCTTCGGGATAAATAAAGTCTTATCTTAATGCAACAAGTTAACTGTGACATTTGTGCAGGGGCAAGTTGACAGTGTGATTGGACCTGTCGCTGCTTTATTTGCTTTGTTTCTATAAGCCTCTTTAACTGCCTTAAAAAAAGACATTTCCAACGAGTTCAAGTTATTAGTTAACTCTAGGTTATATTATATTGTTAAAGAATGTGAGTTTCTTTCAATCTTTTCCCACACAGGTGGCCGTTATCTGTGTCTCTTAAAAGTCAGCCATCATGGGAATTGTAGTCTTTGATGTTACCTCAACTACAGCGGCAGTACGAATATTATTCAACCCTTTTTTCACGAGACAAAATGGCTTTAACCGAATTTCATTGTGTTAGTCAGAGAGCCATATTTATATAATGAATGTCTGATGTTATAATTGGGAAACATGAATCACCACAGGCTTTCTTTGTCCCGGTGCTGCCATTAAAACACTGTGCTTACATCACATGCTTTAAATCCACATTTTACCCGTACAAAATCTACTCTGACTGTTAGAGCTCCTGTAGGCGTATCGGTGGCGTGTTTTTCATTCGGTGGAGGAAAAACAGTGGCACAAAGGCTCAGTAATTGTACGGTGAATCTCCACGTTGGATGCATTTGTCAATAAGCCACCTAATGAAAAGAGCTGATTATCGGCTCTGGCTGTCGCTCAGACACCTGTAGGTGGACACACACTTCTCTTCGTTGCCCGGCTCATTCGGTTGTTAATATGTCAGTGATTCTTTATTCTTTTGATGGGGAGAGATTCTGATGGATGCATGGTGTCTGCATGACCACCCAGCATCTCTTTCATGTGCTTACAATGATTGAACATGCTTTGTGTCAAGGTAGTAATGCAGTGGTTCTCAACATGGGGATCAGTAACCCTGTTGGGGGTCACAGAATAATTTCCGGGGGTCACCAGATGGTTGTGGAGAAAAATAATACACCTTTCTGATTGTTCTGGGGGGTTTGGACTATATTCTATATAAACTATCATATTCAGTTTATGCTTCGCCGGCTATAGAGCACTTCCATATTGCCATAACATGTCTTGGCACTTCTGGTTAAAGCTATATTTTTCTATTACTTCACAATGAGTTGCCAGCTTTAGCAACCTTTACTTACTAAAGAAAGTTCCAGAAACTATACCAGAGCCCATACCGTGTTCTCGTTGTTTACTTCCTGTCTGCCGTCCGAAACTCTGTCTTTTAACCTCTTTCCTTCTTTCCCTTGATCCTCCTTAGCAACGGTCATTATTTTGCTAAGCAGCGGTGTGTTATCGAGTATTAACAACCTGTGAAATATCCAAATTGACCAATCAGAATGGAGTATTCAACTTAGCCATATCATAATAAGTTATAACAGTTTTTTCACGCACACCAATATGTGATTACGTTATAACGTATATTTGAGAATTGACAGCAATGTTTGGACCGTTGGGGCTGCATGAAGTGAATCATCATGGAACTATATATATTTAAAGTGATCATGGTGCTCATTTCAGAGAAGAGAATCTGTTCCAACTCATCAAACACCAGATGTCGTCTTCCACGTGTGTGAAGATGGATTTTTCGTTCTTTCTTACTAGTTTTTGTGATCTCAATCGAGCACGTGGCGTTCAGGTGTAACAGCTTAGTTGGTTGAAGACACCTTCAGGGCTCGACATTAAGGACTGCCCGATGGCCCGGGGCCATCTAGTATTTAGCTCGGGCAATGAAGCCTCACCTGCTGGTTTCCCGATCGGGCAATCTATTCTGCCAGTATCATGCAGCTCGCGGATCAGTAATGAGTGACCCGACAGTAAAACTAAACATATCTATAACTAGTTACGGTAGTAGTTTGAGAGGTCATTAAAATAGCTACGTGTGATATTCTAACCTGAAGTGTGTTTTGTCCGCTCACCGCTGATCATGCAGAGCTGTGTGTCGACTCGTCAGCAGCAGCTGATCTCTCTCTCTCCCGTCAGATTAGACTTCACTCGCGTTTATGTCCATATCGATCAGATCCAGCTAGTTCTAGCTAATGATAACTACCTGCTTATTAAAAGACACCTAAACAATAAGCGTCGCTATGCAACCGGGTGAGGCCACAAAGTATAGCGCAGCATTATGCATTTGTTTACATGCCCACCGGAACCCCGAGGCATTACCAACAGATCAACGCACAATCAACCCATACAGGACATCTCTTTCTCAACATTACGTGTTAGACATTAGAATTGACTATTCTTGTCTGTCACACACTCTTCTTGTCTGTCACACACTCTTCTTGTCTGTCACACACTCTTCTTGTCTGTCACACACTCTTCTTGTCTGTCACACACTCTTCTTGTCTGTCACACACTCTTCTTGTCTGTCACACACTCTTCTTGTCTGTCACACACTCTTCTTGTCTGTCACATACTCTTCTTGTCTCTCACACACTCTTCTTGTCTGTCACACACTCTTCTTGTCTGTCACACACTCTTCTTGTCTGTCACACACTCTTCTTGTCTGTCACATACTCTTCTTGTCTCTCACACACTCTTCTTGTCTGTCACACACTCTTCTTGTCTGTCACACACTCTTCTTGTCTGTCACACACTCTTCTTGTCTGTCACACACTCTTCTTGTCTGTCACACACTCTTCTTGTCTGTCACATAAGTGGCGCAACTGAAGCGGTATTGCGCTAAAGGGAAATTATTTTGACCGGACATTTTGACCGAAGAGATTTAGATTTGCCGGCTAAAGGGAACTCATTTTGTGTGCTTCGCGGATGCGCTCGGCTCCTCTCGACTGCTGCTCGGTCAGCTTCCGGATGAGGAGGCATTCGTTCGACCAACTTACAGTCGATAACATTACACACATTTTTAACAGGGTTCATACTAGTGTAAATAATGTTTGTTTTGGCAGTTACAACTGAATGTTTATTTTAGCCTTTATTTATACAGGTGTAGATCTCATTGAGACACAAGGTCTCATTTTCAAGAGAGACCTGTCAGTGGTAACACTACCACACAAAGTTACAGACAGACAGGACACTAAACACAGAGGCAACACTAAAATATAACATCGTAAAAAAGTAGTCATTAAAATCCATATACAGTCAGATATAGCAGGGGAAAACACCCACAGATGATTTCTCCAGCTTTCAAATTTGAATGTTTTCTACTTTTTTCCGTCTTCCGTCTTCCGTCTTGACCAACAACTTAAGTATTTCTTATAGCTATGCAGGGCGTGCAAGCGAGCAAACACAAACAAGAACAAACAAACAAGTGAAATGAAGAATAAAATTGAAATTGTACAATATAATATTGTGGTGGTTCATCTTATAATTCAGTCTAGAGAATGCACCAGACAGCATCTAAGACCTGCAAACATCTAAATGTTCTAGGGGAGGCCCCCCAAACCCTTCGTGCGTCATTTCCTCCGCGCGCATTTTTCAGGGCAATCTCTACTGGGCTCAGGGCCATCTGCAAATTATCTTAGATGGCCCACAGGGCACAGGGCCATCTCCCAAAATCCTTAATGTCATGTACTGACCTTACTTCTGCCTGTGACCTTCATCAGGGTCATCTTCATCAGGCCCCTTTTCGTCACAGTCGGCACTGTACAGTTATTAATGGTTCATACAGGATTGTGGAGATTTTAGTTCATGCGAGAACAACCCCCCCCAACGATGATTAATTGGGACAATGCAGTCCTTTATTGTGCACGCCTCCACACTGACTTTTAGCGGTGGTTTCCAGCCAGACTCCGCTCCCTCCCTCCTCTGACTTTAGTTTCTTCCAGCAGCTCTTTGTCAGCGACGCGCTTCACTGAACACACTTGTTTCCTCACTGATGGAGCTTTGCAGTATTGTTTCCCGACACTTGCTGAGATACTTTGCTTCATAGACTCTGTTGAGGGTTCTGCTTTCCTGCATTTGGATGTAAAGCTGATCCGTGTTGGCAGGCCATTGTTTGACTTTTTAAAGTGATAAACAATTGAGTTCTCCTTTGTTTCTGTCTGCAGCGATCCAGATCATATTGGTTTGGACAGTTTGAAAGCTGTGTTCTCTGAGATTTCAATGTCAGCTGTAAATGGAAATAGTCAAGATGTTAAAGGAAAAACCCTCTCATATACAATCAAAGTAGGTTTGCCTTTAAAGCTTTTGTCAAGACTAAAAGTGCTACTTTTAGTAGTTAGTAGCGTCAGCAAAACTAGATTAGGAGTCAAAGCGTTCAGATACCCAAGCTCCCTTTCTCTGGAACTAACTTCCTGTTTTTATTAGGGAGGCAGACAGTGACAGACATTTTAGGAGCGTGTTGAAGACCTTCCTTTAAAAAAAAAAAGTTAGAGCTTGTT